GAGCTTTAAACTGTAACTATGCCTTAAGTGAAGATATTTTTGTTTATATAACTCTCTAAGAGTAGGGTTACGATTTCGTTGAAACCTACGTCTAGCAGCGTTAACCTGTTTTCTCATACAATCGATTTCAGTAGTCCACCAAGGTACCTTATGAACCCGTGATTTTTTAGAGGCATGGAAGCCTTAGATGCGTTATAGAGAATCGAGACAAAATTTTCTAGTCGAGAGTTTAATGCATGCTTATCCGTACAGCACTCAATAAACTGCGAAAACTCATCAATCGACTGCTTACATGTATTGTAAAAAATATTCCAGTTAGCTTTCTTTACACTGAAGACAATTTTGCTGTTTTTTCTGTCATAGAAAGTGTTATTAGAAGCTACAGAAGTTCAAACTCAATCGCACAGTGATCAGAAAGGGATTCATAATCTGGTTGACACCAACACAAAATATCTGCAAGAAGATCAGATCCCACAACCGTAATGTCAATATAGCTTGAACCTTGAGTACTACAGAAAGTAGGACCACAGTCTTCGTTTAGAACGAACAAATTATTCATACTTAAAAATTCACAAAGTTTAACACCTCGAGAATCTGAAACTGGACTATGCCAAATTTCAGATTTGCTGTTGGCATCCATAGCCCAAATCAATCTATTACAATTTTTTGAAGCTAATGCTACATTAATTTTATGCAGAATCTCAAGTCGATATATTTCTATTAGGTTCAAAATAATAGGAAAAAAAGATAAAATCATGAGTATTGAGAGTAACATGAAGAAACACCATATTATAATCAAGATTATTAATATCAAGCAGAGTAGACAGCTTTTGATTTCCGTACAATAATAGCAGCTTTAATGGTATCACTATTAGCATCAAAGTAAACCCGGTAAGAGGAAGGCAAGTTGGGAAGAGAGCATTTTATAAGAGTGAGGCTCCTGAACAAGAGCGATATCAATGTTAGAATTTTCCATATTTAAAACAAGCTGCTTTGAGTAGCCATTTTTCGAACGATGAAGATTAAGTTGAATAATTTTAAGAACAGAAATGGGAAAGTTAGCCATAATTAATTTGAGAAATTAGTTCTATTCTTCATAAAAATGTGAGAAGGACAATTTTCGAGAGAAAGGCTTATGCTTGACATCAACTTTTCTTGCCAACATCCTTGATTTTGCTATTATAACGAATGCAATTTACAACAAGCTTGGGTTTCTTGAGTTTGGCAGTGCTCACTTTTATGTTCTTTTGCACATTTAAAGCAAGCAACAGAATTTCTGCAGTTAGCTCCTTTGTGATTATAGCCAAGGCATTTAAAGCATCTATTTATTATGATGAAACTCCTCTACTTTACAAGCCGACCACTCAAAATGCAAATACCCCAAAGATAGGCATTTTCTGTATAGCTCGGGTTTCATTTCGACAACGATATGCTTTGAGTTTTGGAATTTTTAAGAGTAAAACAGAATTTCATGTCATTAATACATTCATTACCATAAAAAATGTCAGGATTTTGATCAAAGAGAACAGGTTAATACATCTTTATCATCAATTTCATTTGGCACATTTTTAATAAGTAGAGCAGGATTTTTCTGTCTTGGAAGAGAAGAAATTAGTTCAGGTTTGTTGTTGATTTCATCTTTTAGTTTATCACGATCAGTTGAGGAAGAGCATTGCACTAAAATTCTGTTATTCGAAATCGTCCTAATATTTTTTATACCTAATTTCTTTTCTGTCGGATTAATTTTTTTCCTTCAAAAGTTTTTTAACATCAAGGGATGTAAAGTTTTCCAATCCAGCAGCTGCCGAAACAAGCAAATTACAATCATTTGACTGTTTGTTTACATTTTCTCCACTAGATGGCAATACCACCTCAGCATAAAAAGGTCTCATAACAGAGGTCTTCAAACTTGCCACACAAGCTTCGCGATAATTAGCAGATTGTAATCTTTCAAAATTTTTAATTATAAGAGATTTTAACTCACCCAAAGCCGTCCTAGCATGTTCACGCAGCTCACCGTTCATATTACATTTAGATGCAAGTGCTGTGTTGATAGTATCATAATGTTTTTCAAGAGACGTGTAAAACGCGTCAAGCTCTTTATCCGCCATCTTGAAATTGCCAAAATATCTATTTTCAATTAAAGATTTTTTTAATAGAAGTTTTAAAATGTTTTTTCTTTTGGTGTCAAAATTCTATCTTTTGTTCCAGTTTTTACCCTTTTGAGGTATTACTTTCTCACACAGTTTTCTAGTTTTGCCAATGGACAATCATAAACGTCATTACTGTTACGATCTTTTCCATAGTTTTGTTTTTAATCGAAAGCGCTCAGTTTCTAACTATTTCTTGTGAGTCCCTCCCATTCCGTGTAGACTAAATCTTTTCACTAAAGTTTTATACAGGGTTCGTATGGTCCTTAAAAGTCCTTAAATTTTTCAAAAATGATTTTTGGTCCTTAAAAGTCCTTAATTTTGGTCAAAATGAAAAAAAACGGTCCTTAATTTTGCTCATTTGACATTTCTTATCATTTCTAATGATTGCCATTCTAAGTGTGAATTGCGGTTTCTCATGAATATGGAATTAAAATTACATGGCTCTTCAAGAAGGACATTTCACAAGCTGCAAGTTTTGCATTGAAACAAGAAGGTCAACAATTTGTCTTAACAATGGTACAACACTTAATGGCTAAATGTCCAATAAATTATTCTCTTATTGGAAATGCGTTTTGTATAGACCCACAATTGATGGCTAAAAGTCCAGAAAAAGCCCAGAACAAAATGAAAATAGTTCTAACGGTATTAACGCGGAATAAACGTGTTTTACAAGATAATTGTGATGAAATTCTGCTGCAGTTTGGAGAGATTTCTAGACAAAGTAGTTAAGACAAATTTACATGAATTTTCTACTTTTGATCCTCAAAAATCTTTCTCTTGACACATTTCTCACTTCTTATTTTCATGATTTTCACTATTCAAAAGTATGGAAAATAGTGAAAATGGTTCTTATCTTGTCATATGGACAGGCCTCTGTGGAAAGGGACTTCTCTGTAAATAAAGCAATTGAAATTGAAAATTTAAGTGACTCATCATACATTTTTCAATGCACAGTATTTGATTACATAAAATTTTCTGGAGGTATTCTTAATATCGAAATTAATAAAGAAATGAGATCAGCAGCAGCTTCTGCAAGGTCTAAATATATGCAGTATTTAGAAGAACAAAAATCTTTAACTAAATCTGAAAATTCAAAGAGGAAAAGAAAAATTATTGAGGAAGAAAATTGATTATATGAAGTAGAAGAAAAAAATTCTTCAGAGGGACATTAAAGATATTAATTAAAGATAGGTGATATTAAATGTAGATGCTTTTAGTAGATGAAGCCGAGACCAGCAGGAACATTGATTTGTTTATCAAAGCAAATGAACTTAGAAGAATAGGAAATAGACATAAATAAATTAGATGTTAAAATATCTGAAAAAATTTCAGATTTAAAAAAAGCATAAATGTTTTGTATTTTTTATTGTATAGTTTATTATTCTAGTATCTTTCAAAAAACCAAAGAAATAAATTGTATGTTTACAAATCTGTTATTTTAATCTGCAAAATATTCTTACATTGCAATTATAATACTAGTTGACTGTGTTTAAATAAATATCAAATCATGTAAATCTCTAAAATATCTGTGGCTGTTATTAGTGTAAAATACACTATACATGTTTTTCAAGAAATTATGTTCTTAATTTAATGTTATCTACTTCATAACTTGTAGGGAGTTAGTTTAATTTTCAAAATTGTTTTATGTTAAGTATTAAATTGAATTTAATTTAGTGCATAATGCACACTTCTGTTAGTTTCTTAAATGGATAATTGCTTTATTCTATTCGTTTTTTTTTTTTTTTTTTTTTTTTTTTTTGTTTGTTTCTCATAGGTCCTTAATTATTTCTTTGATGGTCTAAAAGTCCTTAATTTTCATGTAAGGAAATGGGTACGAAACTTAAGGGTTTTATTATTTCACTTACATTTTCAATTCTTTGAATAGAGTTCTCTTTCATTTAAAGATAAAACATTTTGAATATAATTTACTTTGTTTTTTTCCTTGCTTTGGGGAGAGGCCAAAATATCCGCGTGAGCTATTATAATTAGAATACATTGAAATGGCTCATCGACTAATTCCGGATACAGAAAAGCAAGGATTTTTGTGCAAGAGAGATTTCAATTGATTTTCAGTGTTCCTTCTCCTGAAGAAGTGGCATTGAAGTTGATTGAATTCCACTTCTATTATGTTCTTTTTTGTTTAAATTTCATCGGTTTTTTTAAATTGGGGTATTGCTTGTTTAAAAGTTTTGCTTTACCAATTTTTTAAATTCTTTGTTGCATTTATAGGATTATCTGAAATTTATTAATTATGAATTTCAATTTTTGGTCTTTGTGAAAATTTAGTTCTAAATTTCTTACTTTATGTCTTTACTAATTATATGTATGCTAAGAGTGTGTATGAGTGGGCACATTAAAATACATTGTATATACATTATATGTACACACACCAAGAGTGTGTGTGTATGTGTGTGGGCAAATTAAAATCCATAAACTACTTTTCCCTTTATTTTTTCCTGCTGTTCTGTACTCAGTTCTTATCTTTCTTATTAGTAGTTTTTGCTTATATATATATATATATAAAATAAGTTACCGGATTTTATGAGAACTGTAAATTTTTGTCTTCTATCATTTTTATTTATTTTTCTGTATAGTTAAAAAGATGGAATTATATACTGTATATTTGAGTTCCTAGTGTCTCATTTTCTGTAAAAAAAAAAAAAAAAAAAAAAAAAAAACGTGTTGTTGGCTTATTGATGAGAAATAATGCTCTGTTAGTACCGGAATTATGAAGGGTATTTTGTTTGTAAAATTTGCTTGTTGCAGTTCTTGCTATTTGACATAATTTGTTTCTTATAGTTTCAATTAGTCTAAAATTATTTAACATATCGTATTTATTCGGTTTAGGTAAAGCCGTCATTAGATGAAGCTTTTGTCATTCAGGAACAAAATGTTGCTTTGAACTTTATTGGGTCACGTGGAGCCAGACCCGGAGTTACAAAAGAAAAGCGTATCAAATATGCTAGAGAAATTTTGCAGAAAGAAATGTTGCCTCATGTTGGCGTTAGTGACTTCTGTGAAACCAAAAAAGCATACTACTTAGGGTTTGTTTGTTTTATTTATTTACTTTATTTTTTCTGTGTGTGTATGTTTAATTTTTTAATTACAGAATTCTGCTTTTGATAAATTTTTATAAATCACCAGCAGTGACCTAAATATGAGAGTAGTGATATTTTAAATGTTTCTTTTAAAATGCATGTAATATTTTTTTAGTTTTAATCTCATTCAAATATTTAATATTTCAGTTTGGGAGAACTGACAATATATATGTAATGAAAACATGTGGGAGCAGTGATGTAATAACACTGAGATGTAGACGTGTTGCAGTCTTGTTTAATGTAGATACTTGATCCATATTAAAGAGGAACTAGTCGAGCCAGATTAATTTCCTTTTGTATTTAAATTCACATTTGTGGCCACAATTCACTTGGCACTTCAGTCGTGCCTATTTGATTTTTGATACTATGGCGATAGAAGCGAAGCATCCATGCAGCACAGAAGTTGAAGTGATAAGGGACGCATCAATTCAGAAGGGAGGGAGTCGAAAGTTTCAGTTTCGAGTTAAAGTTTTGGTGTACAATTATTTGATTGGGCAAGAGATATGTACATTAAACATTATGTAGGATCGCAGCGCTAATTTTAAGATAGACAGAGGAAGTCCCCAAATTAAATAAAAAATAAAAGAGGTTATAACCAATTAAAATTAGAATTGTTTTTTCATGTTTTTTATCTTGCACACACATATATAATTCAAAACATAATCTAAGCAAATTCAAGTATCATATTCAATTTTTGAATAATGAATTGGCATGAGTAAATGAAATAAAATTGCTAAAGTGTGTGGGGGGGAACTACTGTAAAAAGATAATAATAATATGAGAGGTTTTTCAAATTTCTTGACACACCAACACTGCCTAAAAAAAATTTACATGTTGGTGGTGGGGTTGGTGTATCAAAAAAACAGAAATGAATGAACCTGTTTTTGAAGTGACAGGTGCAAAAATATATGAAATTCATATTAATTCAGGAATATGTAAATTAAATCAGTATTAGTATTAATCAGTCCAACCACTACAGGCTCGAAACAGAAAAGCAACTTGCCCAACTTTAAATTAATTAAAACAATTAAACAGCAAATAAAAAATAAAAGTGAATCCAAAAATAAAAAATGCAATGCAAAGAGTAATTTAATTTTTTTTTTATTTAATGTGTAATGCAAACAAATTCTGTACTCTGAAACAATATTTTTGTCAATAGCATAAAGCTGTATAGATCAAAAACCTAAGTCTCGTATTGAGATCTGAAATTTAAATATTTTTCTTCCCCCTTCTTCTTCTTGGTGCACTATTTCCATGACAAAGATGTGTAGGGAGATGGAAAGTTAAAATCCTTTTGCCCTTATTTTTTTGCGCTTATGTATGTGGTAATTTTTGCAGAGATTTTGTTTTTTCACAGTATGAGTTTGTCTGGGGACTTGGAACAGCTGTCGGATTATTATTAATTTTACACGGTTTATTTGCTTTAGCATTTTTTAATGCGATTCTTTATTCCAAAACTGAATATAGTATTTGAATTTGGTTAAAGGTTATAGGTTAATATGTATTGCCACTGAATTAATGCAGCTTCACTTATTGCTTAGACCAGATAGAAAAAGGCTTACCCTCTCCCAAGTAAGGTCAGAGCCAGAGCAGGTACGGCCAAGGAGCAACAAAAATTTTAGAACTTGGAGGAACACCAAGTAGCAAGAATTAAGAATGGCAAAATTTTTAAGTGAGGCACTAGAATTTTAAGGCAGCGGAATTTTTAGAATTTGGGGAGGTACTGGATAGCAGAATTTAAGACCCACAGATACGGCATTGTACTGCAAAATGCATAGTATTGGCTCTGCCCCCTAATTACTCATGGGCCAAAAGTGTGATCCTGGCCAGCATCAATCAGTTATTGGCCTTTGTGCATCTTTCCTAGGCAGCTGAAGTTTGAAGAATGACTGCAGGAATTTCAGTTAGTCCCAAGAAAAATCATGTTTATGGGTATCTATTTCCTTTTGTTATTATGATCTCTATTTCTAGACATTGTACGAGGGAGTATTTGTTAAATTTTTTAATTTTATTTATGTATCGTATAATGGATATGCAGATTTCAGACTTTGTTCTGTATTATAAAGTGAATTTTAAAAAATCATAGCTGAAGTAAGACTTTACGAGACTTGCAGAAATTTCTTAATTTAAAATATGATGTATAGGGTATTGCAAGATCATAAGAGGATATGTCTGTAAAATTTTAAAACTATTGGCTTAATTTATAGTCACCTGTCAAATTTCATGATGATGAAGAAAGCCACTAAATGGAAAATTTTCGTATATCATAAGAAAAAGCAAAATTTTTTTGATTAATGGATCATCAGAAGAAATTCCAAATGAAGATGTAACCAAAATCTTCCGTTGCTGTGATAATGCCTCAATCATCAATCGATTAACGGAAAAGCAAATATCGGTAGTGTGGTTTTGAATACAGAAGACACTACCATTTCGGCTGAGTGATATTTTAATTTTGTGCAGAGGAGATTAAGATAACTTTCTTTCTCCAAAATACCTTTTAAAGAAATGTTAGTAAAGAATTTAAAAAAAAAAAAAAAAAAAAAATGTTTCTGTATACGTCATCTTACTAGCTACAAATTAAAGACATGAAATCTGGAATTTCTGAAGTCGTAACAATTCCAGATCTCAGACTCTGTACTTAATTCATTTACTTTTACAATTTCAAAAGACACATTCATCAAAAATCCTGTGCAAAAGATTAAGCTATTAATTGCTGGTTAATATTATTTGAATGTTTTGAAGAATTTATAGTGAACAGCGGTTAGAAAATTATAAGGGAATATTTAGATCTAAAAAGCGGATAAGCAATGCTGTGCTTTACAATGCCACTGCAGTGCACTAATTGATGGGGGGAGGGAATTTACATCCTTTTCATCAGATTTATCACTATTTTCTGTTGTCTAAAATGCTATTGAAGCTTTCTAAAGGCATCTCCAGGCTTTCTGAGATAATTTTAAAAAAGGTAAAACTCAGTCGATGCTTTAGCTCAGAATAAAAATCCATCAACATATCCAGTCATTGGAATCAGCATGGGGTTAAGCTTATACAACTTTGTCATTAATATGAATGGAATCTGTTTTGAATAAAACTATTGAATGTTAAAATGTATAAAAATATTTGTTTTATTTAAAAAAATTGATTTCTTTTTAGATGTGTGTATATTATATTAGACTGCAAGTGATATTACATTATGTAGAGGGTAAAAAACTACAGAAAAATAAATAGAATTGTGTGTGATAATATGACAGTGATGATGTTGATTGACATGAAATGGAGTTCACCTCACTCTGTTTTACATATTATGATTATTCATGAGCTAAAGTTTTAGAATCAACATTATCTATTTGTGTAGTTTATATGTCTATAGAAAAAGAGAAAGTTCAGCTTTAAAGTTATAAGGGAAGGATTGAATTTGGGAACAAAATGTGAATGATCATTATCTTCTTTATTTGTCTATCTATCCTGTGTGTAATGCTTTCATAGATAATGTTTATATTTGAAGTTAAAAATACTTGTGTTTTACCTGAGTGAATCATTTACTGCTTTGTTGTGCTGTTTAAGAAGGGTGTTTGGGAATTGAAAGATGTTAAAAAATCAAGCTAATTTAAAAGGCGTTTTAAGCAGAAGATTGAATTTGGATATAAAATAAGAATGATACTTATCTGCCACCAACTGAAAAACCATTTTCCACCTCTTTTTGCAACTCCTCCATCTATGGACTTGAAAAAGTTTTGCTCAAATTTGCAGTGCTTAAGGTGAAAGAATTAAACAAAGCAGTGAGTATGTATAAGACAAGAGCAGAAAAAACAGCAAGAAAAATGGTGGTTCTAATATCATACATGCAAACTTACACATATACAGTACAAAATCCGAGACCAGACTCTTCGGGGCTTCGATTTCGGAAAAAATAGCCTTAATATTTAACAGAATTGGATAAAGAACAAGAAATTTCTACAGAACGAATTAAGTCAGCACATATATCTACTCCGAAAGAGGTTTCGGACTTAAGCTGGCAAAGAAAAGTGGTTAAGAGGCAAGATGGAACACGTACATATATATATCTATGTAGAAGATACTATATATGTATGTAGAAGACAAATATATATCTATGTAGTATGTAGATGGAATAGGTACTCATTTTAGGTCTCATAATGACGTTGAAAAATACTGTGAGGCTAGAAATATTAAATTTGAAAGAGGTATATTTGACTTTAGTGGCAAAAACAAATACTCCAGAAAAGTTAATTTTGTAGAACAAGAGGGTAGTTCTGTATCTGATGAGGCAAATTCTGTAGAAATTATTCCACAAAATGTTAAAGAAGCGTGTCGAGGTTCGAATTCCGCGAACGGGCTGGCTGCATGGGCGTTTTCGTGATTTTCCCCATGCTAATGTGTATACAAGCCAGTTTCCCTCCACAAAGGCATCCATCCCCTTAGGCAGATAGCCCTAGTATGCTTTGCCATAATTAAATAGACCAAATTTAAAGAAGCGCAGAAATCTGTAAATGCCGAAGAATGGGACAAAGCAATGAGGAAAGAAGTTGACACGATGAAGAAAAGGAAGGTCTGGGAATTAGTTGAGAAGCCAGAAAAGAAAATTATGCTGAGAAACAAGTGGGGCTATAAGCTAAAAAGAAATGAAAAGAATGAAGTAGTTAGATAAAGTGCGTCTAGTCACACAGGGATTCAGACAGAAAAGAGGTAAAGATTTTGAGGACGTTTACAGTCCAATGTAAACTATTTTGCAATAACAAATCTGCCATTAATTTTTCTAAATCACCAATAGATAACAGTTGGACTGCACATGGACATACTATATCACTTTATTAGAAGACTGGTGAATGATGGGGTGTTTGACGTCGAATTTATCCCCATCAAATTAAATAATGTAGACTTATTTACAAAAGCTGTAACTGCTATGGACTTGAAAAAGTTTTGTTTAACTGTTTATAGTAATTAAGAACAATAAGTATTGTGTCCATCTTTTTATAATAATTAAGAACAATAAATATTGTGTCCATATTATAGAACCCATGTATGAGTTTTGTTAATTTTTTGTAAATGAATTTTTTTTTTACCACAAAAGACGTTAGCCCAGAAGGGCTATTAATTTCGTTTTAGCATTTTGCATTGCTTCACTATAAATGTTGTTTTACTTTTCAGATTGTTGCCACCAAAATATTTTCACCCTATGTTATATTTAAAGAAATTATATAATGAAGAATCTGCATAAATGCATATGTTTCTCGTATTGTGATTAAAAAAACGGTACCTAGAGCCATTGAATTCTGAATAGCAAAATATAATAATGATTCACCAGGTTGGTGTCAGGGATATAAAATATTAGTAGTATAAAATCAACAATGTTTCTATATATTATTTTCGGTTTGAGATGTATGCCATGCAGATACCCAAGGGTGGCCCAAGAGTGATGCGTAGTGCAGGGAGAAAATTATGCCACATGCGCATGATGTCATGTGGGTGACAGTCGTTAATTCTTGATTTTTATTTACATTCGTTGCATCAACAGTTTGATTTGATTTGTTTGTTAATTTGTTAATTATACTTAGTCATAAATGGCAAATTCTGCTATAGCGTTGAGTCAGAATTATGTAAGGAAAACTAAAAGTCAGGGCATCACATACCATCGTTTTCCAAGTGGTCTAGAACTTTCTTAGTTAGGGATTGTTCTCTGCAAAATAGCAGATAATTTCAACATCGAAAATGCAAGAATATGTGCTCTTCATTTTAAACTGATGACTACGTATGGGATCTAAAGGCAGAATTGCTTGAGTGAGCTCCTAAAAGGGTGCTGAAATCCAATGCTGTTCCCACTTTACATCTTCTATGATCATCACTTGAAAATAATTCACCAATGAATTATACATGTTGTGCTTAAACTGAATTTAATCTGTAGAGAAAGATTTCTAATATGATTGATTCATCCAGATTTATGCTAAAAAGGGATAGAGCAAGCAGGTGTCAGGCTTGGGAAACAAGGAAATAGGTGAAAATTTAGCTTCTCTTTCCTCCAAAAAGAAAAAGCTACAAGCTGATAAGATAGACTGTGCAACTCAGTTTAATCCAGTGACACATTTCATTTAGTTGAGCACGTGAAAATGTTATAAAAGGAAAATGAGAGATTAAATATGTTGTGCTGTCAACTAAAAATGCAAAAGAAAATTATTCTTACTGAACTTGCTGGTTCGCCTGTGAAAACTTGTGGAAGAAGATAAGTATGCAACTGCTGAAGAGCTTGCTAAGGAGTCAAGTGCAATTGCTGGATGGCTCATGAGCTGATTCAAGCAGATAAACACAGACGTGTTTGGACCTGCACTAATCTGCTCAAAATCAATGCAGGGGCAACATTTTGGACCAGATCTTCACTTGTGATGAACAGTGGATTTACTTCAACACAGGCCGAAAAGGGAGTCCGTCTGCGCCTGGTAAGCTTGGCGACAGCGTCGCAAAATGCAATTCTACAAAAAGACCATGCTTTATACCTGTTTTATTGCTCAACAGTAAGGTGTACAGCAAGATGGTAGTCCGTGTTGAGGCTGCTATCAAGTAAAAATGTCAAACTGAGTTCTGGCACGAAAAGGTAATGTTCCATCAAAATAATGCAAGATCACATGTGTCTACATTCACCGGCTGGACTCTGTACGGACTTGAATAAGATCTTTTGCCACATCCACCGTACAGCTACAACATTGCACCTTTGGACTTCTACTTTTTTTCATATCTGCAGCTACATCTTGCTGGTGCTATCTTCAATCCTGCACAGGACGTCCAAAATCAGGTTGAATCTGTTTTTGGACTCACAGCTACTAAGTTTCTGGGCCCAAGCTAACTACCAGAAAAACTACCAGAACGTTGGCAGAAAATCATAGATTTGTGTGGTGATTACTACCCGCACTAAAGGTACTGCTTTCATGTTTCCCCCCCTCCTAACTTCATTAAGAACATTTTTTGGCAGAAAACTTTCATTGCAACCAGATATTAAATAGTTGTACGACTAGTCAAAGTTGTAGCTTCTCGTACATTTATTGGGAGAGTAACCTAGTTATTATGAAATAGATAATAAAACAAATTCCAAATTTGGGCTTCTAGATGCCCATATTCGGGTGAAGACGTACGTTATTCAAAATTTAATGGCTCTAAGTGCCGTTGTTTTATCATAATGCGAGAAACATACATACATTTATGCAGATTATTATTATATGTCATTTATGCAGATTCTTCATTATTTAATTTCTTTAAATATTGTACAGGGGTCTGATATTTGGTGGCAACAATTTAAAAAGTGATTCGCTGTCAGTAGTGAATCAACGCAAAATTCTAAAACAAAATTAATAGCCCTTCCTGAAAATTGCCCCTTTAGGCTAAAAGGCTATTGGGAGGCTTTGAGGTCCGCATTTGAGATCATTCCGAAAATTGGATGTTCAGATATCAGACTTTGTACTATACATGTATATTCCAGCAGTAAATTTTGCCACTTTTCAAATTTAACTACTTCAAAAGTAATTTTTAATTCGAGTAACCTATAAAAATGAAAAATGTTTTTGGTAGTTAACTTTCTTATAAGTAAAATCATTCATGTAATTTCTTCGTTTGTATATTTTAAATTTTGACCATATATTAAAGTCTCTTAAGTATTTTATATACACTTTGGTCTTTTTTTAGAGAATAAATTTAATTTACTGCATTTCAGCCTAAAATTATAGTTTCAGTTGTTAATCAGGTGTGACATATAGTTGAAATCATTATTTGGTATTAGAGTTAACTGTTAAGGCCAAGTTGTATAATACACATTTGTTGTTTTCTTTCATACTGAAGTGAAGAAAATGAAACAATTCTTTACAGGTATATGGTTCATCGTCTCCTCTTAGCTGCACTTGGTAGAAGAGAATTAGATGACAGGGATCATTATGGGAATAAACGTCTGGACTTAGCTGGCCCTCTTCTTGCTTTTCTGTTCCGCGGTCTCTTTCGCACTCTAACTAAAGAAGTTAGGCTTTATGCTCAGAAATTTATTGACCGTGGGAAGGATTTCAATTTGGAGTTGGCAATAAAGACCAGAATAATAACTGATGGCCTAAGATATTCTCTTGCTACAGGTAATTGGGGAGATCAAAAGAAGGCCCATCAAGCCAGAGCTGGTGTGTCTCAGGTAACAAGTTTATTATTTTACTTTGTTTCTGTTGAAACTTAATGTATCTTTTTTATTGTATGTCATGTACAGAGCTTGAACAAAAAATTTGGAAACACCTTGTAAAATGTGTGGTCGAGCCGAAATGTTAATTTGGTACAATTCCATTATAGGAAACTTAAAAAATCGCCAAACTATTATTGATGCCAAAAATAATTATAATAACCCTAACACAAGAAAGGAAGAATCTCGGATTATTATTTTAATTTAGATAAAAGTTTAATTTCGTATAATATCCTTTTTTATTATTATAATTTATAAATGACATAATAATAATTAACTATCTAAGATTATTAATTTAATTTGATGAAAGGTTAATTTCATATAAGACATTTTTTTTTTTTTTTGTATTTTAATTTATAAATAAAAAAGGTAAGCATAAGTGAAATTAAACGGGAGGCATAAAATTTTTAATGTCTTTCAAAATAGCAGAAAAAATTTCAGGTTTCTTTTTCTGCAAACATCTGTACATACTCTCAGATAAATGAGGGTACTGTTCTTTTACCAGGGCCAGATTCTTTGGGGGTCGACAAAATTGTTGTTGTGGTTGATAGTAAAATATTTAAAGCCAGCATCTCATAGTTCATACGACTTATATGATTTCCAGCAGTCAATATAAATAATGCCTCCTTTTGTGGTATTTTTCTTTGTGATGTTCAATAACACTTTTGCTGATCGATCTGGAATAGTGACTAAGACTTGATTCTTTGATTTCATTTGATTCTCTGCACTATCTGCTGAAAACTGATTGTGGCGGAAGAACATATCCAATGTTATTCTTTCTTCTACTGAAAAGTCTTTTGTTTATTTTGATAATTTTGCCACATATGCTGATTTTCAATTTAGGCTGTGTAATTAAAGCTTAGGTGCACATCTCACATATGTAACTGTTCCAGCCTACAGTTATATTGTAGTTCATCTTCATTTGAAGCTTACAAAATTCAATAAATGTAATCTCGTGACATCAAAAATAGATGAACCTGATGGCTCTAAGGAAGTGGATTTTCAATCCTTCGGATCAGTTTTGACTTCTTCCATTCTTCTCATTGCACGTTTCTCTCTTGCATCGCCATTTCACTATTGAGTTACCGCTAAAGCATAATTTCATATCGCGGTTTTTTTAACATAATTTTCTATCATGAATGATGCCTTTTCTTCAAAAAAATTCCATTGTAGACATTTTGTCATTGGGCAATTCCAAAATTGTTAGATCCACAGTGTTATCAAAAAGAATTCGAAAATTAAACCAATAATTGAATGGCAATTGTAGAACTATCTAAATTTATGCTGTGTGAAATCGGCACATTCCCTGTATTTGGGACATGGTTAAATGGGCATGTTTGCCAGATTTGGTCCTTTTGCACATATGCTTTCGCAGTAATTTCATATACAAAAGTGTACTTCGAATTCATCAAAAGTTAACTTAGAAGAATCCAGTTTATATGAACATAGAATAGTCTACACAACATCATATACTTTGGGCTATGGAACTATCAACTGCCTGAGCTGATGTGACTGGTCTACTCTGTGGATAACTGCAACAATAATACGGACATGAAGTTATGACGTATTGAATAAGACATAAGTTTAAAAACTGGTTATTATACAAGTTCCACTCTCCACAACATAGATACTATCCATGACAATGTAATGATTAATTGATTATTATATTTATTTTTCATATGGATTGTTATGTAACAATTATTTATAGATGATATTGTCAATTTAGCATTGTAATATTACTATCACTGATTCAGTGAATGTTGCTGGTGGTGGATGTTCTTTCTGTCACATGGACATAACTCTGATTGGTGTAGAGCCTTAGGTCGGAGGTCGATGCGATGGCTTTTCGGTCCCTAAGACTGAATTGTACCATTTATTCTTGCAAAAGTTCTTGGTGGGCTGATGTGTTTGCTTATTAACACCACCTGTACATCCTCAATACATCACAAGTATCATTTGTTATTGAGGCAGTGCTCTGTGCAATTGAGTGCGTCATGTCTGAGCTAAATGAATTCAAAAGTCGGCAAATTGTTGGGGCTCGCATGGTGGGTGCTTCTGTTATCAAGGTAACTGAAGTGTTTGGTGTTAAGACGCACAGTGTCTAACATTTTTAACTCATACAGAAAAATGGGAAAAACTACATCCACTAAATCACAACAAGGAAGAAAATGTGTGTTGAGGGATTGTGACAGATGAACGCTGAAGAGTACAGCCACAAAAGTGACTGTTGAACTGAATGTCGCACTCACAAACTCTGTCAGCATCAAAACAATATGATGAGAGCTCCACAAACAGGGTATTTTGGGGCAAGCTGCAATTCAAAAGCTCCTCATTAGTCATCAAAATGCTTCTAAGAGGAGAAAGTGGTGCCGGAATCATAAATCCTGGACTGTAGAGCAGTGGAAGACTGTCATTTGGTCTGATGAATCTTGCTGCACATTGTTTTCAGCTTGTGGGTGAGTTTACATATGGTGAATGCCATCCCAAGCACATGATAGAGACTGTTTCCTACCAAGAATGAAACATGCCGGGTGATTCGGTCATGGCTTGAGCAGCCATGTTATGGCATTCTATGGGACTCTTCATTACTGTGCATATTATTACCAAGGATTATTTGGCCATTTTGGCTGATCACATCCATTCCATGGTACAAATTCTGTTTGCCAAAGTGCCGTATTCCAAGATGGCAGCTTTTTCACTCAGCTCGCATCATCCAGGACTAGTTTTTTGACCATGAGGGTGAACTTTGGCATCTACCATAGCCACCATAGTCACAAGATATCAATATTTTTTAGCCTTTCTGGGCTATTTTGGAGAAAAATCTATCTATAGCCATCATCGTTAGCTAAACTTTCCAATGTTTTACAAGAAGAATGGTAGAACATTTCCTTGCAAAGCATACAAGACTTCTGTTTATCCATTCCGAAAAGACTGCAAGCTGTTTTGAATGCCAATGGTTTTGATGTTTTCATATTTTTGTCCAACTGGTGTACCTGCATTGTTTGTTGTTAAAAATGACAGTGTACAGTGCACTGATCTTAAATTTATGTGATAGGTAGACAGACCATAATGGGATGTATAAGTAATTATCATTTTAGCACATGTCCAAACAGCATTTTGTGAAAGGCAATTTTATTAGCATTTTATGAAAGTTGTATATAGTAGGAAGTAAGTCAGATTTGGGTAGTTCGTTCGTTCCCTGGATATATTTGGTTACTCTGAAAGAATGCACTTCAAGTTATTCTCCATGTATTTGAAAGCTTTATCCAAAAGTATCCATCATAGGCTTTCAAAAAGCATTGCAGTGGTGGGAACAAGTTAAAGCTTTGGTTGAAAAAGAGTTTTAAGATTACAAAAAGAGTAGTTTTTACTTCTGAGACATTTGAGTTTGAAACTTTTTAAAATTTTTTAACTGTACTTGGTGTTTTATGTTTTTCTATATCTATCAGTTTTTAATGAAAATATTTAAATTTTTTATGCATTGCTTTGCCGCTAAGTGAGAATTGAATTAATTGAACGAGAAATACATTTCTAGTGAAATTCGAGAAAATAAATGTTTCGTATATTAGCAGCAAATATTGCCAGTCTGCCTTGGACTGAGGAGAATGCTTATGAGTAGCACATGAGCATTAGTTAAGCGGTGCTGAATTGTCTGTGAAAAACTGTTTCTTTGTTGTTTGTTTAATTTCTTTTATACATCATTTTATATTTATTATATCATGTGAATACAGCATGTGGCAACGATTAGATAGTTCTTCTGGTGATATAAATTTTATACAAAGTGGGTTTTAAAATGAATGAGATGTAACGCTGTTAAGTGAACCTAGTGCCATAGTGTAGCTATGGTAAATTAATATACTGAATTTTAAATAGTATATTTATTCTGTTGTGGTTTATATGCAAACGAAGTAGATTTAATTCAATTCAATAAGTTTAAATGAAATGCAGAAAAAAATGCGTGTAACTTAATATTCTGTGTAAGGAAGTCATGTGGTGTACACATCAGATTTTTTCTTTTTAATGAATGCTTCCATTTTGCATTAAATTAAAAAAAATAATAATCATTCATCTAGGCTAACTGTTTAATGTAAATATATTGATCACTTTCAAATTTTCAGGGAATTTTCTCTGGCAGTCTCCTGAAACTAGTTCTGGTAGTATAATTGATGACATACCAATTATATTTTAAAGGTATAAATAGGTATATATATTTTAAAGGTTGTTATCAATTATATTTTAAAGGTTTTTAAATATATTGGTATAGTTATACCTTTAAGACATATTACATAAGAAGAGCATTACAGTGCATTTAGCTGTAACTGATTCAAAATCAATTAAGGTAATGGAAGCTTGGAAGATATTTTCAATCATGCACTGTGTCAACATCCTATCTTTATCTCTGAAAGATCTGAAAGCATCAACGTTAAATGTATGTTAAAAGAAGATATGTCCCTCTTCAGATGAAATAGAAAACATGCATGAATCGTCAGAAAATGAAATTGTTGGCTTATGAAAACTTGCTAAATCAATCGGAGGTGAAGGTTTTGTTGACATGGCTATTGAGGATGTTCAAGATTTATTAGTAGAAGAAGAAATTGATGAAGCAGATTTGATGGAAATGGCATCCGAAGCCATAAATCAAATTGATTCTGAGGACACTTGCACTGATGAAGATAGTGCAGTTAATAATGCATTAAAAAAATTAAAAGAAGACCTAAGCTTAGCTGAAAATCTCTAATCATTTTTCTTGAGTACAGACTCTTCCGCTGAAATAGGCTGAAAATTCAAAAGGGAGCTGCAAAAATGTCTAGCTCCATATCGAGAAATTTACATTGACCGGTAAGAACTAGTAAGCATATAAAATTACAGATTTTTTAAAGAGGAACGAAAATGCCAGAACTTTAAATGAAGAAAGAAATTCTGAAAGTGAAAGCAATCTCGTTCCACCGAAAAAAAAA